CATGCAGTTTCTACTTGTTGGAATATTGGTATCTTGAAGTATGAAATTAAACGCCTTGCTAAGCCGGGGAGCAAGATATTTATACTTGCTTGTTTTTTATTTCTTGGAAATATATACCCAAGCATGAAGTAAATCTTTCAAAACAAATCATTGTAGACTCGCTCCGTAAGTTAATACAAAACTTTGAAAAGAATATTATCAGCTACTGCGGAATGACTACTTAACAGGCTCAGACTAACAACGGCCAGTCAGTAGTATATGAGCACTTGGCGATTTACCATATTGGCATCACAAATACTAGCCAAAACCCCACACGCTTGTTTGTGACTATTATGCGGTTAATCAACAAAGTCTGATGGAATTCAGCTTAAATATTTATATCCTCTTTCAGAGCAAACCTAAGGAGCTCTTTTCCGATGAAATTTTCCCCAATTCGCCCATTACTTTCAGAGGAAATTAAAAAGGACAGTATGGGAACTGGAGTTCATATACCACAATGCACGTAAGGAATGCTGGCGGATCCAATTATGAGCCGAACTTTTGGCGGCTGTTCCATACAGCGACACCAGGTCGACGAAACACACGTATCTGGGTTTATTGCTGGCCTGAAACACAGTGTCTCTCATAAATCAACAACATTCTCTAATGGTACCATCGGGAGGATGAATAACGTTTCCGCTGTCAAAAAAATGGATGTGAGCCCGGAGATACGGAAGCACAGTGGACATACCCAGGTAAGTCGGCTGTACTATCACAAGACTTATTTTCCTTCTGTTAACCTTTTGGCCACTCTTATTTCTCACTGGGTCATGCTATTTATTTGTGACTCGTAGCACTTTCACCGAACCAATAGAAAACAAGCGTGCAGTTGAACAACGTAAACGACTGGAATAACCCAGTTAAAGCACTCGCGCCACGGTTGTTGGAATCGGGCTACGACAAAACTCCCCGACTGCTACCGATTTGAGAGATATTTTGGGACTTTTGACCGATATCAAGCTTTCGTTTGCTGCTGTGACCTTTATCGCGCCCATTTACCCTCGCATCAGCAGAACCGACCAATCATAGATGACGGTCGGCTGACCTATCGATTTTTCCACCGATAACAGCGATTCAAGATCTCACACACCCATTACCCGCGTCTCATAATCACTTGGCTCTTACAAAATGCTAAGCTACCAACATATTTTTGACTGTTCTGAGAGAGAAGTGGACATGATCACTGGAAGAGGAGGGTTATTCAGATTCATGCTTCAGCCAACCATCTGAAACGGCATCAGATACTTATAAGTGAAGCACAAGGCACTGCGCCAGGCGACTATAACTCCTGTTCAAGCGGTCAAATCTTCTTCTCACCTCCTTCCTGGGGCTGGAATTTTCGATTGTCAGAATGTTTTCCCTACTGATTCCAAGGTGAGAGGGTTACCACTATCTTTCAAGCAACAGTAAAACGGCACATGGGATGTCGACGTTCGAGCATCAGTGGCGATGTTCCACAAAAAATGCTGAATGCTTCTACCTCACAAAATCCACTTGTTGCAGACAAGAGCGGGCCTGACGTGCCTCAATGTATTCCGCATGACAGATTATTAAGCCCACTTAGAGTAGATGTGCTAACCTATTAAAATGCTAAACGAATTTCTAAAATTCGACTTCGACTCGAAAAGATTACTTAAGTTGGGTTTTACTATTAGCCACCATACAGCATAATCCTAAAAATAATTCAGTTGCTTTGGATCCTGCCTTTTGGACAAACTTTCTCCTGGCCACCTGCAAATCTATATTCTGTAAAAAATGAATACTTATTAAGTACTAATTTATTTTCGATTTTCTAAAGGGAGCAGGCGCACTTGGGCGTCCCCCTGATAAAGAAGTGCTCATCGAGGTTTTGCCTAGAAATGTGCAGTATGCATGCCGTACGCCCTGGGACTAAGGCTCATGAAAATGAGGCGACACCTCGCTATAGCAAGTGTTTAGCGTGCTATCTCGCTATGAATGTTAGACTTTGGACGTCGGGCGTCAGCCAAGGATATAAGGGACATTGGTTGAACAACAAACAAGAGCCTTTGCTGGTGTCCAAACCTACTACCTATTATAGCTAGATTGCACCAATGAAGGAGAAATTTCGAGTTCCAGGTGTATGCGTAAGTGGAGAAGAGTCGAGCGCCGGAATACCGTGTTTATTGTCCTGAGCTTTCAGACTCGTACAGGAGTCCATCGTCAGAGGTAGCGGCAGCAGCAGAACAAGCGACAATTATAAGGCATCTAGGCCAATCGTCGACCGACGGCGCAAGATTGGAGGTGACTACGCAGGGCTCTATACACCGGCGCCAGATCGATAAATCGATTGACCGAGTTCTCATCCGAGGCCCAGGCTTCAATCAATTCTCGGCCTGTTTTGTTTCTGGCCTGGGCGACTATTTTGGTGGCTGCGAAGTTAAACTCGTGACCCATTTCGTAGGTGTGAGCGGCCACTTGTGATAATGTGTCGCCCCGTCGCACAGCCAGCTTATGTTCGCGTATGCGCGATCCGAGCATGCGCCCAGTCTGTCCTGTGTAATTACAAGGACAATTTTGACACGGAATGCGATACACTACTTCAGATTGCTCATCAGGTTTTAACCGGTCTTTGATTTTTTATGACCCTATTGCGCAGCAGTGCGTTCAGTCGCTTCCGAAACGCCCTTGATGTATGGCAGAGGATGCCATATCGTCGGTGGCGTGGATGTTCGAGTTCTGTGGTGGCGACCGCGTAGACAGCGACTTATGAATGCCCTCAGATAGCGATTTTGCACAAAATGGTCGCGGAGATAGCGGGCTTCACGCGCTCTGTCCTCCGGCTTGCTGCAATGAGTTTGGATCCTTTTGAAGAGCGTCTTTATACAGCTTCGTTTGTGAGCCACCGGATGGTTGCTGTGAAAACTGAGAATCTGTGTGGTGTTCGTTGCCTTCCTATAAACCGTCGTTTCAAGTTCACCGTTAAGGTATCGTTTGACAAGCACACCCAGAAGGGGCAACTGCTGTTCCTGTTCTTCTTCCCTCGCTGTCAATAGGCGGCGTGACGATTGCTCAACAGTTTGGCCTACTGCGACCGTGAAAGCTGATCACCCGCACCGCCAAGGAGGGTAGAAATCCGAAATGGGAAGTCAATAGATTCCTTTTTCTAGCGATCGCATCATCATCATCATCATCATCGCCCTTATCAGTATCCTCGTCATCATCATCATCACCGCCGCCGCCACCACCACCACCACCACCACAAACACCACCATCACCATCATCGCCACAATCACCATCACCACTACCACCGCCATTATCATTGTCACCACCCTCTGAGATATGGCATTGCAGTTTCGAGGTACAAGGAACAACCTATTATGTGCCTCGTCTTACTGGTTTAAGTCGTAATAACATCTCCCTCCTTTCAGCAGCTGAATTCAGCTGCAGTAACTCTTCGCGTGATGCATGATACGTCGAACTCTCCGTGCAGTGAGTCAGAAGATCGGTAAATGGACAAAAAGTAAAGACTCCATTTTGAATGGTTTGTGGAGGCCAAGCTATTGAGGGTACCTCCAAAACCAGAGTCCAGTAACGATTAGCGGGTGAATAAGGACGATGACAGAAGTGGGGAGGGGGAACTGATTCCAGATAGAGTAGGCAGAGATTTTTCGGGACGACGCACTTACGAGTGAGTTCGAGGCTTCACTTGTAGGATTGAGTTTAGTTTCATCGGTAGTTGACCAAGAGAATCAGACGGTCGACTGGCGCACAGGAGAGGCAGGAGAAAATCAGGCCGACACTAGGAAATTTATCCCTACAGCATCTTAGCGCATTATAAAATAAAATGGGCATGAATCTCTCAGGACGTACTAAAATTAGTGGCCTGGAAAGCTACTACCTGACGGAATAACTCCGTCATAATGGGATTATTTTGGAATGCCTGCAAAACTAATAGTAAAAATGAGATGGTTGCTGTTTAACGTGGCCTCTGGGGCAGTCTCACGCATGTCAGATCCGAGGCGCTCGCACAGAAGCACAATACATTTTGGGGCGATCAATTCGTGGGTTGCAGGTGTAGATGGGCTGTTTGAATTTACAAGTCAGTCGTCGGTCGACCGGATATCGTCTTTCTGCCAGAGTCCGGATGGCGTGCGGTTGAAACGGTGCTGCTCTGTCTCACCGGCGCGGCGTCCACTCCCCGCGGGGCACACGGGGGATGTCGTCGTTTGTATATTCCCGATCGAAACCGACAGGGCAACGGGTTCGTGGCCCAGTGGTTAGAAGCGTGGACTTCTAACTAACCGGTCGCGAGTTCGAGCCTCGGGTGTTCCACACTTCGGGGTTGGGTATGACTGGCTGACAACGGCTAATAAGGCAGAAATGGCCATTCTAGTCTCCCTTATCTTTGTCGGTATCACCATTCCGCCTATATCATGCGCCGCTGTGCGGCTGCTGGTTGGGCTCGAGTGAGAGCCCGTAAGGCACAACGGAGCGAGTGACTTCCGTAAGAACGATCGGTGAGCGCCCCCTATCTTTGTATATTCCCGATCGAAAACCGAAGGGCAACGGGCTCGTGGCCCAGTGGTTAGAGGCGTGGACTTGTGGTGAGGTATCGGACTAATTTGCCTTTGACAGTTTGCCCGGATTGCTCGTTTGAATGTGGTGAAAAACGACGCACCAGTACAACCCGCCTTGCTGGCCTGCTTGGCTGTCGCGCTCTGTTGCCAGTTTACTTAACATTCAGAATCTCCGTATTATTCACTGCTCAGTTTTACTTGCTGCCTTTAAGGCTAGGGGCTCGTGAGATATAACTCGTTAGTTCGTGAGTACATTACCATCCTCGTCCAGCCTACCTACGGCGGGAGCATCCCGATCTATGCAAACAGTTAGACCACGTGGTCAACCTCAGCTTGCCCTGATAAATTGCAGCCCTCTGATTTACAGACCCCTTCGGCGTGTTAACCTTCCCATTTTCTCTCCTAAATTGCGTTTTTAAGTTACCATTTTTATTGATTAGTCTGCTGAGAAGTAAACGATGAACTTACTGTTTTTCAGAGATTTTTTTTTCTGTGGAAATTCAAATTTCCCTATATTTCAACTTCGTTATCTCTGTTATGCAGCGACAGGTTCACGAAGCAACATCAATTTTTAAATTTCAGCTGTTTTTTTTCGAGCTTTCTACACATCTGACGACGACCTGGAAAACCAGCGTCGAAAATCTATGATATAAACTTTATTTATTTTCCTTAAGGACCCAATTTTCTTCGAATTATATTTCTGGGAATGCACACCTACCAGTACGTATGTGCGGATGATATATTCGCAGGAAAATAAAGTTCCCCGTTCCTCTATCATGAAGCACTTTTTAGATAGCAGCCACTCTGCTGACCCCAAACCATCCTTCCGAATATTAGTTCAGGCCCGAACAACGTTTAAAATATATATATTATTCACTGCTCATTTTTACTTGCTGCCTTTAAGGCAAGGAGTTCGTGAGATATAACTCTTTAGTTCATGAGGACAATACCATTTTCGTCAGACTTCTAACTAACAGGTCGCAAGTTCGAGCCTCGGGTGTTCCACACTTAGTGCTGGGTAGGACTGGCTGGCGACGGCTAATAAGCCAGAACTGGCCATTCCAGTCTCCCTTGTGTTTGTCGTAGATGCCATTCTGACATACGAAATAACTTTCCCGTTTGGCGCACGAGGCAGCCACAAACCTAGAGTTGAAATCACTGATGCTGGACCCCAGCCTACTAGACGCCGGGCTATAGAATGAGCATTCATTGGGAGTCCCCACGGGTTCTGCTTCCTTTAGACTTGCCTCCTACCGACTGCCTCTCACTCCATTGTAAAATTGATCATTTGCCTTTATAAAACTTTCACTCAAATGAAGACTGCATTATTTCCATCCACTCACAGTTTTGATGTTTTACAGAGTGCCACTCGCACGCTAGCGAGGAGCGGTCCTATTTTTGTAATTGAATACAGTGCAAATTTGCTCAGAAAACGCGCCACACATCTCAGTCCCACGACTATGACTGTGAGAGAGAGAGAGGTGTAGGTCACAAAATTGCAGTCGTCCTCACGCATGAAAACATTCACAATCAATTCCCCTCCAACGTCTGAGAGAAGAGCCTGCGTCTAATCAGTTTGGTTGGATAACGCAGCCAACCCCCTCCAGAGTATGGTAGCGAGCTGGTTTAAGCGCGCCGCGGTCGTTTATTCGGGGCTATGCCAAATTGTTGCCTCGGCCAGAATGAGCGGGGAAGTTCATTGTCATAAAATCACCCTCGGACTGCCACTGTTCACTCCACCCCGCCATCCCCCCTCTGCCGGCTGACCCCAGGAAGAACCATTCCCCCCCCCTCCGTCAGCCCTGTTGCCAACAATGTATCATTCTTTTGGAAGACAAAACGGCCCCCATTTCAGGTTGACAAACGGGCGTATAAAGTGGTCTATTTTACAGAGCTGACAATGGAGAGTCCGCGAACAGGGGAGAATTATACTGTTGTCAGGGGTAGACGGATTTTGGCAATCACATGGGGAATTATCACTCATAGGGGCTCGTTCTGTCCAAAACAAAATGTACAGGGTGAAGTTTCGGCGAGGGGATTAGGCAGTTGTCTAATTAGACACACTGTGGCGGCCGAGAACATCGAGGATAGCACACAAGCACACAGGACGACTACACGACAGTTCAACCGTCGATTCCGACAATGTTTGCCGTGTGCTACACACCAAGGTGCAACAGGCGCGGTAACTTGCACGTGAATTGGTTTGAATTGATTGTAGACTTGTGCAGCATCTGCCGCACAATCTCGTCCTCACGCCTAACCTGGCAAGGAAAGCGAGCGTGATAATTAACAGAAAACAAAAAGCAAGTTTCGAAAACAAACACACTTCAAACATGCGCCGCTGGTAAGTTTACGCTTAGTCAGGACTGGAAGGGAATATCAGCAATGGGAACAATGAATGAAATTGACATTTACAGTCACATTTTACGTTAGTGTAGTTGCCACTTACATGGGGATACTACATCCTATTGTTATCGTCATATGCAACCTCAGGTTTGGACATCTTGGATCTTAGGCCCCCTCCTTTGGGCGTTAGTGAGTCTAACGTCCTGCCAATACGTCAGGGACCCAGCGTTCTGTTTAATATTAATAATGACAAGAAACTCATGTAAGAGCCACCATTCTGACGTGTCAGAAATATCATGGGACTATACTGCACATTAACTAGTCTTACATCTCTACATAGATTATGTTTCCTAACTGAAAACGTCTTTGAAAATTTCGGGTAACATTTCACCTACTCCATAATATCTACTGTACATTTGATACCGTGACTTGATTGACCTTCTCAAAGCCGCCTTCAGACCAAAGACACAGGTGCGGTTTTTGCCGATAGATGACCGAAGGAGGAACGAGGAAGACCAGTGAGGTCGGCGTGGCCATTTATCGCTTTTTTGTTGACGTCAGCGAGTCATCTCGGCAACGAGTCAAAAATAACTTGAGCTAGCCTGTGAATCGTGTCATACAATAAATGATTGTAGAAGGGGTATTACGCGTGGGGCAACATGTAGGAGGAAGGGTAAGAAGACACTGAAAATAGATACATTTCTGCCACTATTCGTATCGTACGCTGTAGCTTGGCAAATAAACCAAGCTCGATAATTAAAAATAAGCAAAAAGCAACTTTCAAAAAATAAGGGAATTTAACTAAAACGCAGCTGGTAACTCTACACTTAATCAGGAATAGAAAGAAATTTCGACAATGGGAACGGTGAATACTAAGTACTTTTTATAGCCACACTGCATTTTGGGTATATTTTTGTAGCTGCCATCTACGAAGGGGTCCTACACCCTATCGTTACCGTCATATAGAACTTCGGTTTCAAACCCCATCCTTTGTTTATTGTGCGTTAGTTGGTCCAGCGGTCTGCCACTAAGTCATGAGCCCACCGTTCTGCTTAATATTAATAATGAATGGCTGTGTGACCGCCTACGACGGTCCTAGATCGAGCGCCAAAGCGCAGACGAGCAAAAACGACGCGCAAATTGGTCGGTGAACTGATTGATGAACTGAAAGTCAGGCTTAAAGGTTCCTGCTTAATGTGGCCTTTATGTGACGCCCCTAGACACCAATCATTTCGGTGCCGAGACGTGATGTTTTTTGCGGGTGACCGGGTGGTGTGTGATAGGTACAGAAGTGTCGCCTAGTTCAGCCAATCACCTGCTCCCGAACCCGGCATTAGATGGCTGATCGGCTCGAACAGCGGACTGGTGTCTAGGTGATGAAAAAGAGAGTGAGGTCGACTCTGGAGTGCTACATACATGCGAACTTCAGCGCATTTCTGCCTTTAAACAATCGAACGTGATTTTACACCTCCATGGTGTGCCAAAAGTTGTGGATTGAAAGGCAGCCAACTGACCGCATGACAATTCCACCGTCGATTCCGACGACGTCCGCCGCGTGCTACACACAAAGGTGAAACGGACACGGTAACTTGCGCGTGAATTACTTTAAAGTGATAGTAGACTTGAGCGGCGTCAGCCGCACTCTCTCCTCCCCACTGCTCACCTGGACCCGGTGTCCAGACAGAATCAAGAAGATCGGAGGTGGTGGAGTGCGCATGTGTACTCACACATGCACACACGGTCGAATAGATCACCAAAGGTAGTCTTCCTATTATGTAATACTGGACAAAGTCGTTAAATACCACATCAGGCATACATATATATGTATTACGAAAAGGGTTTTATAACGTTTGAAATCTATTTTACGGTAAACAAACTGATAGAGTAACAAAAGTGGAAAATAACTACAATAAGGAAATATTGAGGTACTCTACAAGAGATCCATTTGCAGTGGGAGATAGTCACGTCATATCAGTTAGACAGCAGTGGGAATCAGAGCGCTGTCAACAACTGCGGGGGAGTGTGCTGACGATTGGGGTCGCGAGCGACGAATGGACAGCGAGAGCTGGGGGGGGGAACGAAGTGGGCGACGGGGAGGTAAGGAACACCGGTCAACTTCATTGGCAGACGATCACACCAGACGCGTCCTGGACCCGCGCCAAAGTGACCTCAAGCAGTTCAAACAACCCTTTCGACTTTGTGGAGCGTTACAACACTATCTTTACCCTGTAAGTCCGGGGAATAGGAACTCCGCGTATTGCTGGCGGTCTTACTTTAAATTCCAGGGCAAGACCCCATTTCGTAGACGTACCTGTGGGGGGTTAGGGGTCAGGGTTAGGGGGTAGGGTGGGGATAAGGTTTAGGGATTAAGGTTAGGGGTCAAGCTGAGACTTGTCTACTTCAGGTACGGCAACGAAATGGAACTGACCAATTCTAGGAAGGTTACCCATGCTCTTGCCCTGACCCCATCACGAACCCTTACCCAAACCTTAGCCTTAGCCCCACATTTAGCTCCTGCGGACACGGGAATATGCACCTCCCCCGAGTTCTGCAGGTGGCCTGGCGTTAACTCCCAGGGGCGTCTATTCCCGAGTCCTGATTTTGATCCTAACCCTAACCATGGCAGAAGCTCTTTTAACCTAAACTATGAACTTAAACCTAAGTCTAATTGGGCTGAAATTTGACACAACGCCACCGGTATTACGGGAGGTTGGCAGTCTTGTGTCCCACCTGTTGCCACCGTAAACAAAATGTTTATTGTACAATGACTGACCTCGCCGTGCGTTTTCCCTCATATTTTATTATGGGAAAGGAAAAAGGGGGGAAGGATGAAAAACTATGCGATTTGCCTTTAGTGTCGCTCTTGATTGACGCTCTCCGCGGCTTCGGCTGAATGATGTACTATCTGCGAATTCTTCTTACCATGATTACACGGTTGGTGTTAAACGTACTGAATGGCCTGTGGAATTTAATAAATGTGTCCTGAAACGGCAAAAATCTGCCTTTGTTCAGTGCAATAGAAGTCGCAGAAAGTCACCGCCAAGCACAAATATGCGGATAAACCACTGAAGAAGCAGTGACACGGTCATATTCGATCCCTCTTCGACCATTTGCTCCCATTCGAGTAGCATTGACCCATGCTCCCGCAATCCGGCTGTTCCATAAATGGAGCTTATTGAATTTTTCGATCACCAACCATGGTCCGTCCGGGGAAATAATTCTTGCGGAATGACGTTACCTTTATGGACAAGGGTGGCTATAATGGCCGTTTCTGGTTTGTTAGCCGTCATGGGCCAGCCACACCCAACCCCGAGTCATGCAAACCCCGAGACTGGACCTCGTGACCTGATGGTTAGAAGCTTAACGCCCTAGCCCTCGATAGCTGAGTGGGTAGGGTGTTGAACTTCTACTTACCAACTCTTGAGTTCGAGCTACGGGAGTTGCATACATTAGGGTTGGGCGTGGCTGGGTGATGAAGGCTAACAAGCCAGAGGTGGCCATTGAAGTCTTCATCGTCCATGTCGGCAATACTGTTCGGACTCTATTACGCGGCGCTGCGCGACTGCTGGCGGGCCCGAGAGAGAGAGAGCCCGCAAGACACGGCGGGACGAGTGAGTTCCGTAACGCAATCGGTGAGCGCTCCGCTCTACCATTTCAATGCTGGTCTGGAGGACGTTGGACTTGAAATGCTGCCATTTGCTGACGACTCCTTTTTAACGTTTAGACCGCGTTGCCAGGGCCACAAACAGCCTACTGCGCGACTGCTGTGATGATAATGGTGGGCAGCTATTCAAGTGAACATCAACGGGTTCACGAGTTTCCGGGCTGATT